AATGTCTGTTTACTAAGTCTTTGATAAAACAAATATAGCCATTCATTGGGAGTTCTATCTATTTTTATTTACTCAGTTAATATTATTTCAACAGCCACGTAATTATTCTTAATTTAGTACATTTTTTATTATATGCTTGCCGTCTAATATCAAAATGAACCTCTCAACATATATCTGGATTTATTATATGGTTCCATCATCATCTACCTAACTCACCATAGTATTACTAAATGATAGACAATTTCACTTCCAAGTTATTTATTTTCAAATTAAGGTAAAGAAAATTTTAGTGATACTACAAATAAGCATTCCAGTTCGAATCAAAGGTATATATACACATTGGTGTTTTAGATTTTTACTTTCCTCATTGGCAATCCTTTTGTACCCAAACCAGTAACCTTAAATGTATAGCCAGCTGGAGCAGGTTCATCGCCAAACGACGAGGTAGTTACAAATAAAGTATCCAAATTTGGTCCGCCAAAAGCCACAGAAGTTACATGCAAGGTAGGCAATTTGATTGCCAGCAAAATTTCTCGAGTGCTGATGTGAGTTGCAGTAAATGGAAATGGTAGTAAAATGTTAAAGATATTAGTGTTAGAAATAGGAAGAGAATATAAACTAAGAGCATTTTAAGAGATTTATAAACTACCATGACATTTACAATTCAGAATTAAGTGACTAAAATGTCAAAGAAAGTAGAAGAAAATATATACAAATTTAAAATCCCAACTGATTATTTCAAACTATGATTAAGATTACTTGAAAGTACTCAATAATGGTGCGGGCTACCCTGTCTTTATGTGTATTTTGGCTCATTCGATACTAACCTTGGATTCACCTTATAGACGGTATGACCTGTAAAGATGGCAACATAAATATTTCCCTCTGTATCAATAGTCATGCCATCGGGCATATCGGCATGCTTGAAGACTATTTTAGGGTTGCCTATAGTAAAAAATGTAAAAAAAAAGTAAAACAATATGAATATTAAATACATTAATAAATAAATTCTAACTCACTGGCCACGCCCGTATCCAAATCATAATCATACTCGTTTACTTCGTATTCGTTTGAGTCGATATAATAGAATTTGTTTGTTTTCTCGTTCCACGCCAAACCGTTGGAAAGGGTTACTCCCGACCTTATAACTGCCATTGGCTGCCCCTTTTCAAATCGATATAATTCACCAAGTGGGTTAGACTCTCTAAAATCACCATAGATTGTACCAGTAAAAAGGCGACCACGTGGATCGGCCTTGCCGTCGTTAAAACGATGTTTACAAACTTCGTCGCCTTGTTGCAGTGTATAGGCAATACGTTCCACTTTCGCAATAGGCGCCACACCATCCCAAGCCACGATAGCCACACGATATCCACAACCTACAGCAAATTTGCCAATCTCGCCTTCGACTGGTACAATGAAGGAAGTTTGTTTCTCATTCTCTACCTTAGCGCTGTAAGTTTTATTCTCCTTGTAGTCATAGCGTAGCAATTTAGCATTTGGAATATCGACAAAGTAGAGGCTTTGTGTTTCAGTATCCCAATGGGGAGCCTCACCGACTAATCCATAAGATTCGGGTAGTTGTTCCACTTTGTATGACATCTAGTAAAGAAAAATTTTGATCTTTACTGTTATTAAATTCAGATATTCATTATATTATGAAAACAGTTTTATAATTCGAACTATTTTCTGGCTTTCAAAAAGAATACATACAAAAGCTATGTTGAACAAAGTGATCCAGTGTAATGTAAGACAAGGAGTATATTTAGAAGAAGGATTGAAATCCGCGTGACTGTCTGTCCGTTGGTCCGTCAGTCCGAGCAAGCGACAACTTGAGTAAAAACACAGATGCTTGGTACACATATTCATTGGCATCCAAGGTAGGTTGGTATTGCAGATGGGCGGAATCGGCCCACAAAACGCCATTAAACGCATACTTTTCAAGTGCCATAACTATTAAGATACGAAACTGTATCCTGGAATGGAAGATCGCAGTAGCTAGGGACACTATTGGCCTAAAAATTTGTTTAAAACGGGTGGTCCGCCCCCTAAATGGTTTAATGTACATATTTTCCAAACCGGTTAAGATATATCAACTAAACTTTCTGAGAAAATCATTTTATCATATCTTCAAACTCTGTGATAAAATTAAAAATCGGTAAAATCGGATAATAATCACGCTCACTCTTCATATAACGGTTATGTTGAAAACTAATTAAAGTGCGCTAACTTACTGAAAAAAAGAGCCACAAGCAGTAAATTTCACAACCAGGTGAAAATTGGACAATGGGCGTGACACCACCCACCTTTAGGTGAAATCCTAAATCTCAGGAACTGCTCGACCGATTAAACCAAATTTAGCCTGGTAGCCGAACATTCCTATTAGACTCTGCAAAAATAAGCGAAATCGGATAACAACCACGCCTAATTCCTATATAACAAATTTTTAAATTTCAATCGATTCTTTTACTTTTCAGTATACAAATCAAATATCAAGTTGATAGAATAAAATTTTGCACAAATAGTGCTCTCACGGTATGTTAGTTGTAAGTGTTCCTACGTCTATGTTTCTTGCAAAGTGCAAGAGTATGAAAGGTTCGGTTACACTTGAACTTAGGCCTTCTTTAATTGTTGTCTTTTTAAAGCAGTATAACCGTTTGTGTTTTGCTCTTTATTTGCTTATCTATTATTTTACACCAGTTATCTGCGGAACACTCCATGATTTACCTGTATTTCAATACACAAGACGCAATCTCGATTTCGTGTTTGTTTTTATCTTTCATTTTTTACTGAAAACCAAAATGCTTAGTCACGCTTATTTACAATTTTTTGACAACTAACATTCTTTAGCTTAAATAAAACAAATATATATAAAAACAAAACTATTATACTCTGTAGCAACAGGTTGCGAGAGTATAACAAGTATATATATAATGTGGTGGCCTGTAGGTGGTATTTTACCAATCTCCTTCCATAATTTAATATACCACAATATTATATTATATTTGATTTTACGTCCACTTAACTTATCAATATTATTTCTATACCTTACGGACGAACCACTTGATTGTTGAAAAGAATTGAAGCAACTGATCGTAGTTGAATTGATTTTGTGTATTTATAAGCAACTATGAGCCTTTTAGTTGCCTACATTTGTTTTGAGTGGTTTTATTGTCGACTCGTATAAACGACACTGCAAAATTCTCATTTAAATGTTTTTGATAAAGACTATAATCCTTGTTTTCTGATTAACATTATTACACAGACATAATGACATAGAGACAGTTGGAGTATTTATTTTTATATTTCCATTCCTTAATGAAATTGTATATCATTCAAATTCATAATATTTTTAAAATAATAAATAAACTCTAAATATGTATGGATTTTTTTAGAAATATGTATGTATATGTAGCGTCCAGTAATTTAGAAAGTAGTGTTAAGATTATAAGTCGACACTTACTGAAACTTAACTCCCTCTCGCTTTATGAATCGCTCTCTCTTTCTCTTTGACTCTCTCAGAAAAACTAATGGGTGATTTCTTTATTACTTGAATGATATATTGTATTCGCGAATATACTTGTATATGTGTGTCGATACATATTTATATTAATAATTATATAACTGATCAGTGTGACCAGCTGAGTCGATTTAGCCATATCCGCCTTTCAATCTATAATATACTCATATGAGTATCCTATAATTCTTTTCACAAAATTTACTAAAATAACAGAAATTGATATATTTATCGGATCTGTTATCGGTTGAATTATCATTATTATAAATTCCAAGATATAGTTGCATAGTTTTCGGAGCAAATAAAGAAGATTTCGGTGTGAAGAAAGAAGTCTACTCATATTTATTTATTATATAAAAATCCTTGAAAGCGAAAAGATATATAGGATCTAACTAAGAAGTTGCTTAAATGAACTTCTGAGTTATTAAAAGCTCTTTTATATAATTAAACGGTTTAAAACATAACGCAACATATACTAATTAAGCTATTTTTACGTATTTTCTGGCTTTAGTAGAACCCGTTCAACACTTTTTACAATATGGGTATGCAGAGGAGTTCTCTATTTCTTAGTGAGGTATTCTTTCTAAAGTCAAAGTCTCAAAAGACTTATCAAAAGCTATTTGGGTTTCTCTATCACTTCTTTAGACTTTCATAATCTTTTGGTGGTAAAGCGAAATGTCTAGCCTATATATTTTTCAGTTATGGGTCTTGAAAGTTTTATTATATATTTCAGTTTTTTAATATATATACATATATTATAAAATCGACCTCTTACTTTATATACATATTCATTGTTTATTCCATCATCATCAATAGACAATTTTATTTAAAATTTATTTATTTTAATAAAAGCTTTGAAAATTTTATTTTTGCTACATTTTATTGGTATCGTCGTCGCATATATCATATATGAGTCTTAAATTTTCACTTTCCACATTGGTAATCCTTTAGCACCCAAACCAGTAACCTTAAATGTATATCCAGCTGGAGCAGGTTCATCGTCAAACGACGAGGTGGTTACAAATAAAGTATCCAAATTTGGTCCGCCAAAAGCCACAGAAGTTACATGCAAGGTAGGCAATTTGATTACAGCAAAATTCTTTTGAGTGCTGGATGGAGTTGCAGTAATGAAATGGTAGTAAATTGGTAAAGATATTAGTGTTAGAAATAGGAAGAGAATTTAAAAATACAATACTCATAAAAATTTTAAGAGATTTATAAACTACCATGACATTTACAAATCAGAATTAAGTCAAAGAAAGTAGAAGAAAATAAATACAAATTTAAAAACGCAACTACAATAATTATTTCAAAAGATCACTTGAAGGTACTCAATATTGGTTTGGGCTACCCGCATTATGAGTCCTCTTGGCTATTACAGACAACTGGATTGACTTTTATAGGACCGTATGACCTGTAAACGTGGCAATAATAACTATTTCTCTGTATCAATAGTCAATGATGCCGTCGGGCATATGTTCGGCCAATGCTTGAAGAACACCTTTAGGGTTTGCCTATAGTACAAAAAAATGTAAAAAAAAGTAAGACAATATGAATAATTAATACATTAATAAAATATTCTAACTCACTGCACGCCCGTATCGAAATATACCTCATACTGTTACTTCGTACTTTGGTGAGTCGATATAATAGAATTGTTTGTTTTCTCTGTTCCCCCGCCAACCCGTTTGGAATGGTTATTCCCGACCTTATAACTGGCCATTGCTGCCCTTTCAAATCGATATAATTCACCAAGTGGGTTAGACTCTCTAAAATCACCGTAAGATGGTAACGCGAGTAAAAAGGCGCCACGTGGATCGCTTGCCGTCGTTGAAAATATGTTCACAAACTTCGTCCGCCTTAGTTGCAGTGTATTAGGGCAATACGTTCCACTTTCACAATAGGGCGCCACACCAATATCCCACGCTACGAACGGCCACCGACATCCACATACCTAACGCAAATTTGGCCAATCTCCGCCTTTCGATTGGTATATGAAGGAAGTTTGTTTCTCATTCTTCTACCTTAGCGCTATAAGTTTATTCTCTTTGTGTATAGCGTAAGCAATTTAGCATTTAGAATATCGACAAAGTAGAGGCTTTGTGTTTCAGTGTCCCAAATGTGGTCGCCTACCGAGAAATCCATAAGATTCGGGTATGTTGTTCCACTTTGTTATGACCATCTGATAAAGAAAATATGAAATTACTGTTATGAAATTCAGACATTCATTAATATTTCTAATGAAACGATTTAACCATTCTAGCCATTCTATGTCTTTCAAAAAGAATACATACAAGCTATGTAGAAGAAAATGATCAGTGGTAATGTAAAAAAAAGGAGTAAAATAATTTTTTCTTTCTAAAGCGGTAAACCGTTTTGTTGTTTCGCTATTTATTTGCTTATCTCTTTACTTTATTAACCAGTTATTTTGCGGCAGTCTACATGATTTGCCTGTATTTCATACACAGCTCAATTTCAACTTTCGTATTAATTTAATCTTTATTTTTTACTGAGAACTATATGCTTAGTAACGCTTTTTTAAGAATGTTTTAACAACTAACATTATCTCGCAAATATATATATATATATTTTGGTGGCTTTTAGGTGGCTTTTTTACCAAATTCTCTTTGAATAATTTAATATACCACAATATTATATTTGATTTTGCGTCACTTACCTTATCAATATTATTTTCTATAACCTTACGAACAAAACACTTGAAATTGTTGGCAAAGAATTCAAACCAACTGATCGAAGTTGAAATAATTGTATATATTTATAGAGAACTATGAGTCTTTCAGTTGCTTACATTCTTTTGAGAGACTTTATTGTTGATCGTATATACGACACTGCAAATTTCTCAATCTAAACGTTTCTGATTAAAGATAATTATGGGTCCTTGTTTTGTGATTTACATTATTATACCAAACATAAATGTTTAGAAGACCGTTAGAGTATTTATTTTTTATATTTCCATTCCAAATGAATTCGTATTCAATTAGAATTCATAATAATTGGAAGAAAAAAATTCGATTCTAAATAGTCCGTTATCGTAGTTTAGAAATAAAATAATCCAAATCTGGTCCTTCAAAAGCCATAAAATTACATGCATGGTAGGCAAATTTTGATTGCCAGCAAATTGCGCGAGGTGCTGATGTGAGTTGCAGTAAGTTGGAACCAGTTAATAAATGGTAAAAGATATTAGTGAAAGATAGGAAGATAAGTGTAAAATACAAGACTCAGA